TTGATCCATTGAGTAATATAGATATAAATTATTTTGGAAATAAAATAAAAAATTATAGAGGGTGTTTTATGTTAAATGAATTACCTACAACACCATGGGAAAATGAATGTGGAGTATTTAATTTAAATGATTCTACTCAAAATGGTTCTCATTGGGTTACATGGAAAAAAATAAACAATACATTTAAAATATATTTTGATTCATTTGGTCATATAGTTGGTGAGCCACCAAAAGAACTTTTAAAATATTTGGGTAAAGATAATCTTTTTTGTACTGTTTCCCAATTTCAATACTATAATGATCCACCTATATGTGGTCATTTATGTTTAGAATTTATTGAAAATTATAAAAAATTTATTTAAATATTTTATTTTTTTAATAGAAATATTTCTATTAATAAATAACAACTCGTTTAATATATATTTAACAACGAGTTAACGAGTCAACGAGTCAAGAAGTAAACGAGTTAACGAGTAAACGAGTAAACGAGTTGTTAACGAGTCGTTGTTTTTTTTACATTAACTCGTTGACGTTGTTTTTTTTACGTTAATGTTGTTTTTTAACAACTCGTTGTTTTAATAATTCGATGTTAAAAAAAATATTTACTAATATAAATAATAGAAATGGAAAATATGAAAACACATTTAAATATGATTGAACAACAACGTAAAGTCCTAAGACGTATATTTAATGATAGTGATATTGATTCTGAAATTAGTAATATATTATGGAATCAAATATTGGATAATTGTTGTTACGAAAATGTTGCAAAATATGTTTATTACAAAAAACATAATCAATTAAAATCATTTAACTTCCATTTCATTAGTAATTGTTGTTTCGAAAATATTTTAAGTTTTATTAAAAACAAAAATTATAATGAAATTAAACTTTCACTTAACGAACTACGTAAATTAATACAAGAGGAATTACATGATTCGAATAATAATAATAATAATAATAATAATAATAATATGGAGCTAGACTGATTATTTTTTAAACTTCGAAAATTTAAATCGAATATAATACTTACGAAGTATTATATATAATATTATAGTACCTATACAGTGTGGTATAATAATAATAATAATAATAATACTATTGTTTATATATATATATATCAACATTGGAATGATTATTTTTTAACATCTGGTATTGAATATCTTATCATAATATATATGTATAGTTTATATTATGATGTTTTTTTTTATCGAATTATTTAAATAGTGTTTAAATAATCATTATACATGCCCAAGTGTTGTAGCTCAGTCGGTAACGCGTTTGATTTAAAATGTGTTCTTGGTCGGATTGAAACTAGTGGGGGAATGTGTAGCGCTGCATATTCACCTACTAATTTCGTCAGGCTTTGAAGACGTTTACGGTAGATTGTATAGGTGGGTGCACACACCTATGCAATCTACTGAAAAACTGTCGTTGACCTGTTGGATAAAGCGCTTGGATAACTTCACCTCCCACGATAGCTTTGCAGATATCTGTAAAAGAGTTCCGGCCTCCTTTTTTTCTAACGGGTATCTGCAAAGCTGGGAATGATTTTGTAGATTTTTTGCATTTTTTTTCATATTTCTATTAAAAATATTAAAAAATAACGCGATCGTATATGTCCTATATTTCATTTAATATTTGATATTATCAAGTCGGAACAACACAGATATGTTTTATATGCTTATCTACACTACATATTAAAAGTTTACCCCCGCTTCATATTTTTCATTTAAGTATAACTCCGTTGCTTTTTATGTTAGAATCTTCATTTTTACATTAAACATTTTTGATTTTAATTCTTTTTAAGTCCCCCTCATAGTATCATAGTGTAAAATTGTTTTCAAAGATTTTTGGATTTTAATAACGCGTCCCCTATTCGGGTGAGCGTTAAATATTGAACATTTTTTTAATAGAACAATTCTATTAAAAAATTTAATTATATTATTATTATTATATTCTAAGCATCTTATGATCGGCATCTGTACCTCCCATGCTAAGACAACATATTTTAATATTTTCTAAATCTTGAACAACACAAATATCATGGAGATATTTGTAAAAATAAGTACCGGTTGTATTTATTAAATCATTAGCTATTTTACAAATTTGCATTTCGATTTTAATTATTAATATCATAAGTATTATGAAAAATATTTTGGGGGTTTTTGTATTTAATAAGTTTTGCGAAAAATGTTTTTATTATTATTGCATTTCGATTTTTATTTTTAATAATTAAGTTTTGCGAAAAATATTTTCATTATTATTTCATTTCAAAAGTTTTGTGAAAAATATTTTTATTATTATTGCATTTCAATTTTCTGATCTTTTTGCACATTGTTTTTTTTGTGATCTTTTACTGATATATTATGAGGTGCGCCAGAATTGGCATATATATACTACTAGGAGGTGTAATTCCCTTAATACCTATATTTGCGGGATTGTCAGCACTTGGTAGTTTGATGTCTGGAGTTGCTAGTATGTATAATGCTGTTCAAAATTCAAAAAGAAAAAAGGTAGTGGTTTGAAATCAAACAAGAACAAGTTAAAAAAAAAAAAACTGATGATCACGCTACCTGACAGACCGCTTTCGTCTCAAGATATTATAAAATATGCCGGAAAGTTGAAAATCAATCATTTCCAATGAGTCTTTTCACGTGATAACTTACCTAAAAAACCGCACGCTATTGAATGTGGTATATTAAACTTGGATATATCTTCAGGCGATGGAAGCCATTGGGTAGCGTTTTATAAAAATAAGGACAAAGTTGTATATTTCGATAGCTTTGGTGATTTACCACCACCAATTGAATTACAACATTATTTCAGACAGTTCAAAATAGTATACAACTATTCCAACTATCAAGACTTCAATACATTTAACTGTGGTCATTTATGTCTTGAATTTGTACAATGCATAAATCTATTACATTAAGTTTTACTGGAAATTCAACTGTATTGTCAGCAAATTATTTTCCATCTCTAAACGTTTATGAGGATTCGGAAATAGCTTTGTTATCTTTGCAAACGTTCAATTCATTTCCAAATATTATAAATCCAATTAATAACCGGTTGAAATTAGAAAAAATTCCTCCAAAGAAAAACAAAGAAGACTTTCGCATTTTTGAATTTTGGTTAGAAGACGGATGCTATGAAATAGAAGATATTAACAATTATATGGCAAAAGAGTTATCTCAAGTTAATAACGACCACGGAACACATCTAACATTCAGTATACGTATGGATCCTGTCGATTTTAGAACGTATATAAAATGTAATGGAATACTTCGATTTAATACTTCATATAGTATAGCACCTGTTTTTGGGTTTAAAAAGAAAAATTGTGGACCGTTTCATGAAGAACGTCAATCGGATAAAGCTGTGAATTTAAACATGATTAATTCTATTAAAGTAATGTGTATAGCACATGGGTCATTCAACAACCAACTTCAAAGTCATTCGATACATGAGTTTTTCCCGAGTGGGAAAACAGGAACAAAGGTTGTTCAATCTCCGGTAAACCTTATATATTACAGATTAAACAAAACATATATTAATTCAATTACTGTTCAGTTAGTTGACCAAAACAATAATCCAATTGATAATTTTAACGAGACGTTAACAGTAATATGTAGAATTAAACGTCACGGATCTCATCATTAAATTTATATCTTAGATTTTGTAGTTTAGTTTTAAAATTGGTAAATGTTAAATATTTTTTGTGTGAGACGAAATTTGGTAGACAATCAGTGCGAAATTCTGTTACACGGTAAATCTGAGTGCTCCAAGGGGACATTCCCCCCTTGAACTTTTTTTTTCCTTGGAAAAGCTGGCTGTGAACATACAAATATATACTACTCACCTGGAACAATTACGTGATGATACATATGCAAATATTATTAAAGCAATACAAAACCCAGAACTTTCAGCCCATATATGGATAAGAAAATCAAAAAATTATTTTATAAATGAAAACCAAATACTCATGTATAAACATTTAGCTAAGGGGCAATCTATAAATATTTTAATAGCATTACCAGACAACCGTAAAAATGAAATTTTAAACGATTCCCATGATCACCTTTTATCAGGACACTTAGGCATAGACAAGGCATACAATAAAAGTATTCAACGATATTTTTTTCCCACTATATATAAAGACGTACGCAAATATGTAACATCAAAAAAGGAAATCGGATAAAAAAGCGACCTATGGTCAAATGCTAACATCACTAAAAATTATTGGTATACCATTTCAATGATTTATAATAGATTATATTGGGCCAATTAATCCACCAAGCAATGGCAACTCATATATTTTGGTAGGAACTTGCGCAACTACAAAATACGCTATAGCAAAATCATATAAAAACGCTGACGCCTACAGTCGCATATTTAATAGATATAATTTTACAATTCGGAGCAATAGGCGAAATACACTCTGACCGAGGCTTACATTTTGCAAATAAATTGGTGAAAGACTTACTAAAAGCGCTAAATATAAATAACACATATTCAATTGCATACCGTCCCCAGAGCCAAGGCCAGACAGAAAAGTTCAACGGGACTTTGATAGATATTGTGGTATCACCCGTATTGGATAATACGCGGTAAACCAACTTTATACCTTACCCTCGTACGCTCTAGGCTAATGACTGTCTCTAGAATAAATTCAGATTAGCACTGTTAACCTTTGAGGTACGATGGTAGCGTTTTGTCAGTTCTTCGTTCGTTTCCTAAATTTGAATTACTATTAGGACGCCACAACCAGAGCACTGTTCAGTTTGTAATAAACCTCATTGACTATAGGTGTGTGGGTCTGAGCACTGTTCCAATATTAAAGGTAAGAACGAAGAAGACTTTGAAATAAAACTCAACTCGGGTTTTTAGGTTGATACGGTGCAGTAGGACTGCCCGTGTCGTAGAATAAAGTCAACACAATGAGGTATTGGTATTACGTCCTTTTATTGTGTTAGAATGAATAATGTATGTGAATATAAATGCCCAATGGGCAGTCATCGTCGGTGGCTGCCGTGCCACTGTTGGGATTGGTTGAGCTCCGCGTCTGGACTCGGTTTACCCGAGTGGACTGGTTGTTCTCTCCTGTGGCTGGCTCTGCGTCGCTGATGGATCACCGTCGTCGTGAGGGGTTCCCAGGTCGTCCGTGGATCGTGGGTCGTTTCCTCAGCGTCGGTAATTACTACCGGTCGGTTGAATTGGGCAGGAGTTGATTCTCCGTTCCCTATGTCTGGTGGTTGTGTTTGGTGTCGTCGTGCCAGCTGCGGGTCGAGTCGATGCCGTTGGCTTTGGTATCGACCGTGAAGTGGAATCGCCGAAGATCGACTACGTCGATTGAGGTTCGTGAGGTCTGCGTCTAGTCGCTCGACGGATTCCTCGTCGCGGCCGTGGCTCGGGTGGTTGAGGCTCTGAATGCGCCGGTTGATATAGCTAGCCGGGTCGTCTCCGTCACGTTGTTCCGTGGTTGCAAGCTGCTCGGCGGTCGGAGTCGTCGGCTATCTCGTTGTCGGTGTCGGTCAGGGCTGGAATCTGGCTGTGAGTGGTCTTCTTTCTTCTGTTCTTCCGTACAAGTTATGTTGTTGACTGTTTGAGAAGATATTGAAGACTGATGATCGTTCGCTTTGCTTTGCTTTGCTTGTGTGACGGCGATGTGCCTATACACTCGTTCCAGGCGTTAGCCTATGAAGAGTTGAGTGAGATATGGTGTATGATTTTTTTCTAATTTGAGTTAGTCCATGAGAAGGGGCGTTGTTTTATAGATTTAGAGGTTGGGTCAGTAACCAAGGCGGATAGACCAAGGCTGCGGATGTGGTTGAAAGTGGAATTTGAGTTGCGGTAAAAAAGGTTCTTGCTGTTGGTTATTATCGATTGCTTGACGGTGGAGGTACGAGTTGAAGAAATAATTATTTTATTTGTCACAAACATGGGGAGGAGGTTATAGTACGGAGGCCGATGTTTTGGACGGCTTCGAGTTTGCGCCAATTTGCTTTGGATATTAGTGGTCCCCACGCCGGACCGGCGTATGATAGGATGGGTTTGATATACAGTTGTAGTATGTTGAGTTTGGTTTGGATGGGAATGGGGCTGGAACGGTTCAGAATCGGGTATAGCATGCCGCGGACGGCGGTGGCTTTCTTGATAGATGACTTGATATGTGCTGAGAATGTAAGATTTCGATCAAGGGTTACGCCGAGATAGTTTGATGTAGGAGACCAGGGGATTCGGTGACCGTTAAGGTTAAGGTGGTGTGAAGCAAAATTGTTGGGACCATTGAACATGACTGCAACCGTTTTTTGAGCGTTTATGTTGAGACGCCATTTTTCGCACCAGTCTAGTGTTATGTTTAATTGTTTTTGCAGCTGTATGGCTGCTCTTTTTGGGTTTTTGTTCGAGGTGGTGAACATAGTGTCGTCGGCGAATAGATAAAGCCGGGCGTTTTGGTTGAGGGGGACATCGTTAGTGTAGGTCAAATAGAGTGTCGGCGAGAGACAAGAGCCCTGCGGTACACCAGAAAGGACCGGTCTGCTGCTAGAAATAGTGTTATTTAGTCTTACTGAGAAGGTGCGGTCGGTAAGGAATGAGTATATTATATTTAGCAGTGAGGTAGGGGTGCCTAAGGTGTGGAGCTTGAACAATAGGCCTGCGTGCCAGACTCGGTCGAAAGCTTTTTCGACGTCCAGAAAGACGGCGGCTGTGCGTAATTTGCTGTTTGAGTTAACTGTCAATTGGTCAATTAGGCTGACAAGCTGATGGGTTGTGGAATGCTGTTGACGAAAAGCGAATTGTTCGTTTCTTATTTTGGGACCAATCGCAGCGTTAAGTTTCGCCAAAACAACACGTTCGAAGATTTTTGAGAGGGAGGATAGTAGCGCAATGGGGCGGTAGTTGACTGGATGACGGTGATCCTTTCCTGATATGGGGATAGTGATGACGATGGCATGTTTCCAGGAGGTTGGGAAGTGGCCAATTCTTAGGCATCCGTTAAAGATGTGGGTGAGGAGTAAAACTGATTTCTTGGGTAGGAGCTTGATGGCTGTGTTAGTGACGGAGTCAGCGCCAGGAGCTTTGCGTTTGGAGATTCGGTTGATTGTTTGTTGAACGATGCCAGGTGATGTGTAACAAACAGTTTGTGGGGATGGACGAAGTGAGTGGATGAAGTTGGTGACTTCTGGTATGACAGGGCCAGAGGTTGACTTAAATTGTTGTTCGTACGTGTCAGCAAATAATTCAACCTTTTCTTCATCCCTATACATGAGGCCATTTGGACCAATCAGCGGATGGGCCGCAGGGGTTTTGTTTAGGAGTTTCTTATTTAACTTGTAAATTGAACCGTCTTGGGCGTCCAAAGTAGTGAGGAAATGATCCCATTCGTCGGCACGGTGTGTCTGGAGGATAAGACGTATAAATTTGATCTTGCTGTTTAGACGACGTTTGACCAATGGATCACGAAAACGTTGTCATTCGCGGCGTAGACGGTTTTTTGTTTGGATTTCCTCGATGATTTCTGGAGGTAGAGCGTTTTTGAATGTCCGATTGTTTTTTATGTACGAGCTGTCGTTGACAGCGGTAACAATGCTCGAGCTAAAATTATCGAGAGCCACGTCGATGTCACGGGGCGTTCTGATTGGCGGGTTTGTCGACGGTGAAAGGGAACCAATTTTGGCCATGTATTTAGTCCAGTTAACGCATCTAGAATTTTGAGGTGGTGAGGAGGTGATTGGAGAGTCGGACAGTGTAAGTAGCACTGGATTGTGGTCGGAGGAAAGTTCGTTGAGGTTAATTACATCGCAGGAGAGTTGTGGGAGACGGATTAGTGCTATATCTAATACGTCAGGTCTGTGACCTGCGACGGCCGGGAAGAACGTTGGTGTAACCGGGGCTGTAACGATGTAGTCGTCATTAAGAGCATGGTTATATAATATAGTGCCGGCGGAGTTTGAGCAACGACTATGCCAGAGTGGGTGTTTTGCATTAAGATCACCCGCAACTACAAACCAATGGTTGCCATTGGTCAGCGCGTCAATATCATCGGTTTTCATTGGTTGATTCGGGCTCTTGTACACGGAGGAGATTTGTATTTGGTAATTGCCCATGGATATTTCGACGGTGGTAGACGAAATTGACGTCGGTATAATTATGCGCCTGTGCACTATTCTGCGATGGACGAGTGCGGCGGTGCCACCACAGGCATGACCGCGTAGGCCTGAGGTGTTGTCTGAACGATAGACGTGGTAGTTTCGGAGTTTTAGGTGGTTGACAGGTTTTAATTTTATTTCATTTAGTAATACAATATCAGCGTTGATTTTTAGCATGAGTGCGTGTAATTCGTTAATTTTTGATTTAATACCGTTTGAATTCCAGTAGAGAATTCTAAGGTCATTCATAACTGTTTTTTAAGAGGGATAGGAATGAGTTGATTGTTACAGAAATGATTGTTTTTGGGTCCTCGGACGATGAGATAGCTGATAAGAGCTCAGTTAGAAGATTGATGACTTTGTCGGTTTTGATTGCGGGTTTGTTTTTGGTAGCATTGGCGTAATCGAGATGATGAGTGGGGAGAATTCCGGGTGGAGGTTGAGTGGCATTGTTTTGAGGTAGGGTTGGAAGATAGGTAGATTTGCTTGATGACGGATTTTTTGGCGTGGGTGGTTTTGTTGTGAAGTTCTTAGCTATTTCAGAGAAAGATGGACAACCGCGGAAGTTTGCTGTATGAGCGCCATTGCAGTTTGCGCAAGTCGCGGCCTGGTCTCGGGGTTTGGTACATTCGCTGGTGCTGTGTGGGCCTGCACACTTAACACAACGAGGAGAGTTTCCGCAGTTTTTCGACCCGTGGCCGAATTTCTGGCAAGAGTGGCATTGAGAAGGGCCGGATTTTTTGTAAGACTCAACAGAGATCTTTAGGTAAAATAATTCGGACATTTCATAAATGTTTTTGGCTTGGGTGCCAGATAAAATAACGAGACAGATGGGCATGGGTTTGTCAATCGGCCCGAAGCGTTTTATTAACTGAACATTGAAATTACGGGCTGTCAGTTCGTTTTCGAGTTCTTCAGTAGATATATCCGTAGGAATACCTTTAATTACAACTTTTAGCTGGCGATCAGCAGCGAGGGAGAAAGTGTGAAAGTCAATTTTGTTGGCAAGAAGAGCTTTTTGGATTTGGCGGAATTGTGTAGTGCATGAGGTTTTAACATAGATTTTACCGTCGGAAGATGATTTGGCAGTAATGTCGATAGGGGAGATATCTTGGTTTTGAAAGATGATCGGTGCTGCTTGACGCCACAAGGACGCAGTAATAATGATGGGTGGTGGCAACGGGGATTTTGGTGTGCTTGGGACGGAGGGGTCCAGTGTGTGGTTTATATTATTAATAGTATTTGGCTTACCAGATGCGAGTGTGGAAACTTCGGCGGTATTAGCCGCGTCCGAGTCCGAGTTCTCTGATGAGACGTAAGAATCGCCTGACAACGATTCAGAGTCTGATGATGGAACGGGCGACGGTGGCTCAACACGCTGTCGCTGAGTGGCGGCAACTTGTAGAGGATGCGGTGAGAACGTGTTGCTACGGAGCTTCTTTGGGTCGCTTAATGGAGGAGTGCGATTCCTTTTGGAACCGCCTCTGCGGCCGCCCATGGTTATTCGTATCGGATGCGTCGGGAATGTTGTATCTGACGTCTGCACGGAACAAACACTGGATGGACACTGATGATGGTGATGATCGTTCGGTAAATTGTCCCGGTATATAAACTTTCCAATTCACCGTCAACGATTCTGATTGGCTGGTGAAGTGCCGTATGACGAGTTAAAACCGCACCGTTTCCTGGTGGTTGCCGTTGGTTTGTTACGGTTTTCCCTCGTCATACTGGTGAAATATATTTCTATAAAATCTAGTCTTTGTTATGACACCCCGCGTGGTTATGTGTCGGTCTAAGTTGGTAGTGGTCCTGAAAAGGACCATTTTAGTTATACTCCGTTACAACTCCCCCCCCCCCGGATTAGTGCCCGGGTGGTGCAGTCCCGTAACCACGGGGGGGGGGGGGGCATTGCCCCCCCTAAACCCAGTCATTGCCCCCCCTAAAAAATATTAGAAAGACTTTTAGGTAGGTATGTATTTTATTGCTAATAACACTTTCATCGGTAATAGAATAGATAAAAAAAGTTTTTTTAGCCGTATTATTATAGTATTTATTTCGGAAATTCCGGGCCATGACGACGATACTGACGTGTCACGACGACTGTTGGCAAATTGATTGCTATCGTTATCGTAGCTCAATACTTTCCTATCAATTGACATTTTATTATAGAACACCTAAATATTCTTTCATTGTATCGCCGACTGCAGCAGTACACGTGTGCCAAGAAATTATATCACTGTTATAAGGTAAGTTAATAAATTGTTATATTATTATGATTAAATTTGAAGCAAATTGAATGAGCAAAATGTTTTATTTATAAATATAATAAAATTAAAATATATATAATTAATATAATTTAATAGGTAATTAAACAAAATAAATATTATTTTTAGTTTTGGATTTTATCAAACATACATACGTAATATGGATTCATGGGTAATCAAAACAACCAAAAACTCGTCGCAAAATACTACCGAAAATAATAAAATGTCCGAAAGTACTTCAAATAATAATAAAACACCAGAGAACACTTCAATAATTAATAAAACAAATAATCAACCGATTTTTCAAACACATCAAAAAAATCAAATAATTCTTCCGTCGTATCCTAATGTAGGTGGTAGATCTTTTAGAAGTCAATGGTTCAAATTATTTGATTGGCTTGAATATTGTCCAGAAAAAAATGTTGCATTTTGCTATCCATGCAGAATTTTTGGTAATAATGAGACTAAAGAAATTGCATTTTCTGTGACAGGATATTCTAACTGGAAAATAGCTTTGGAAAATAATAAAGGGTTTTATAAACATCAATCTTCTTCATCGCACCGTATTTGTATAACAAAATTGGTAGATAAACAAAAACGTGTTGAAACGACTACAGAAATTTCAACATTGTTGAATGAAAACGTTCTCGAAAAACATAGATATTATGTAAAATCAATTTTTGAAATAATCATATTTTTAGTCGTGAATGAATTACCACTTCGTGGGGATTTTGATTTAGAAATGCACGAAGATAAAGGTTTATTTCAATCACTTTTTCGGTACACTCTTAAAAAAGACACTAAACTTGCAGAATGCGCTAAATTAATTCCTCAAAATGCTACTTATTTATCCCCTTTCATTCAAAATGAAACTCTCAATATTATGCATAACGCTGTGCAAAATAGTGTTGTAGAAGATTTAAAAAATGCAGATGTCCCATGGTATACTATAATGGAGGATGGAACTAAAGACAATAATAATCGGGAAAATATTGCCATAGCCATACGATACGTAAAAAATGGAAAACCAATTGAATCTTTATTAGCAATTAAAAATGCAACAAATTTAAATGCAGCTTATTTTGTGCAAATGACACTTGATCTTTTAAAGTCATTAAATATTAATACTGATTATATGCTCAGCCAATGTTACGATGGCGCTAGCGTGATGAGTGGTACTAAAGGTGGTGTTCAGGCTTTAATGCAAAAAAAGCTTAATCGAACTATTCCCTATGTACATTGTTATAATCATCAATTGCATTTGGTTATTGTCAAAGCAGTGTCGGAAGTGACCGAAATTGGTCACTTTTTTGATCAGTGTAGGCTCATTCATAAAGTATTTAACACATTTAAAATAAACACATTATACGAAGGCAATAATACAGTTAGATTGTTAGAACAACGTTGGTCTAGCCATTTAAAAATATGTGAAATTATATATAATAATTATGATGATATGATAAATTGTCTAAAAAAAGTGCATGGAAAATCATTTGATGGCAATGAAGTAGCTCAATGTGCAGGACTCTCATTAACAATGAAAAAGAAAACATTTAAATTTGCATTGTGTCTTATGTTAAAATGTTTAAGATACATCAAACCAGCCGATAAAATTTTGCAATCAAGAGAAACTGGTTTAACCTTAGCAATTCCAATTATTCATAGCGTGATTAATAGTTTAAAACAATCAAGAAATGAAGAAGTGTTCAATGCAATTTTAAAAGACTGTGAAAATTTATTACCTGAAACCGAAACTGAATCTCCAAAACGCAAGAGAAAGACTACTATAAAATTGAATGAATATATTTTAAGTGAATCATCTGGTACTTATACAAATTATGTCAACGACGATATTAATATTTCATTATTATCTACATTTTATGAAGTTATTGATATAATTAAATCTGAGATGGAAACTCGTTTTGAAAAAAATGATGAACTTATTAAAGCTGTTTCTAACATATACGAATTGAATTACGATGATTTTAAAATATTTAATGATCTTAAAATTAATATTCCTTCAAAAGAAGAAATAATTTGTGTAAAAAATTATTTAAAAGAAAATAATATATCTAATAAGAACATTTTTTTAGAGCTTTATCAACAACGTAAAGCATTTAAAGCTACATATGAAATGATAGCAGCAGTTGAAGTATTTGGATGTAGCTCAGCAGTTTGTGAATCGACATTTTCCTGCTTAAACAGAGATGACAATCCTCAAAGGCAATCAATGTCACATAACCGGCTTTCCAACTTAACTTTATTGGCATTTGAGTCCAAACGGACAGAAAACTTAAACATGGACCTATTATTAACGAACTTCAGCAAGCAGAATAATAGAAAATTGAAGCTGTATTAATTAATATTAAAATGTTCAAAATTTAACCACGTAACATCAGTGAATATGATGAATATTATAATTATCTATGTAAACTTTAATATAAGTTTTATTTTTATTATTTAGTATTATTCGTTTTGTAACTTTAAAACAAATGTTTCATTGTAAATTCCCAAAATATTCTATTATAAATGGATTATTATTATTATTATTATTATTATTATTATTATTACTATTAGATAGAAAATTATAGTTGTGTTAATTTAATGGGATATCAATGTAAATAAATTAAAAATTGCATTAATATTTAATACATTTATATATAATGCCCCCCCAAAAATTTGCTTTGCCCCTCCTGAAAATTTGGTCTGGCTACGGGCCTGGGGTGGTGTAGCCATCCTGTATTAATCCATGTATGTTTGTCGACGGAGTGTAGCTGTCCTGGTGTTTGTTGTGTATGGTTCGGGAACATTTTTGTGTTTACTTCCGTTACCCATTGGATCACCAATAGATGTTTCATCCTGTTCTGGTGTCTGGTGTCTTCCTCCGCTAGTCGTGCGTCGGTCCTTACCGCTACGACTTATAATAGTGCGGACAAGTTTTCTTTATTTTCGTCTGCTACTCTATGGCGATATCTCGCCGCCAAGTCTCTTGCCTTGGTTCGTACCCGCATTTTTCAAATTTTTTTTTTTTCTTCTTTACTACGTTTTGTTGATCTCGTTTTGTTTTCTTATATATGTTTTTCCCCGGTTATTCTTGTTTTTGATTTGCTGTTCTGTTTGCCTATTCTTATTGGCTGACTAGAAACCGAGTTTTTCTAGTCGGTACGGTGTTTGATATTTATTGTGATTTGTATTGTGGTTGGATGTACGGGCGTATCTCCACCACATTGACCAGTTCCCTTTTTCCCGTTATGCCGTTAAGTATTTCCACCGTGTTGCTGCTTATCACCTTCGTTACTGTGTGTGGCCCATTAAAAATGTGGAACAACTTCTTAATTTCGTTGTTTTGCGCGTTTGAAAGGTCATGCGTTTTCATTAGTATTTGCTGTCCTGTTGTGTATTTAATTTTTCCTTTTCTGCATTTTTTTTCGTGTTTGTCTGCCCTCTTTTTTATTCTGTTTGCTACCAGTTGGATTATATCTTCTCCCTTTTTTCGTGGTGGCTGCTCTGGAAATTTTATTAGTATTTCTATCGGTTGTGTCGGTTTTTCCTTTTTTATTATTTCCCATGGTGTTAACTCCGTCACTTCTGATCTTAGTTTGTTCATCCATTCTTCTATTTGGTCAAGTTTATTTGGCCACTTCGTGTGTTGGTTATTGCAGTAAGTCCGTAATAGTCGGCCTATTTCCCTATTGTATCGTTCTACTGGGTTTGATTGTGGATGGTATTTTGTCGAATGTTTTCATTCGATTTCAAGTTCTTCTAGCTTCTTTTTCCAACTGTTTGCCGTGAATTGTGTACCGTTGTCTGTTAGTATTGATTTTGGTTTGCCTGTGTGTGGAATGTAGTCATTTTCAAGTCTGTTAATTATAGCTTTTGTCGTTGCTTTCTTTAGTGCATAGAGTTTGATAAATTTTGAAAATGTGTCTAGTATTGCCAATATGTAGTGTGTCCCACCCCGACCTGTTGCTAGGGGACCCATTAGATCGATTGACACCGTTTCGAGTGGTTCCGTGGGTTTATGTGACGTATGTTGGCCTTTGGTGTTGAAATTTACTGGCTTGCATCGTTGACATATGTCGCATGATTTTGTTATTTGGGCTGTTATTTTGTGCATGTTTTTGAAAATGCATGTTTCCCTTAGTTTGTGGTAAGTTTTGTATCTCCCCGGGTGTCCCATTATTTCATGGGTTTCTTGCGTGATTTTTGATGCAATTTCCTGTGGTATCACGACTCTCCAGTTATCCGTCACCTTGTTTCTTGTAAATATTATTCCGTTTTCTTTTGTTATGTGTGGGCTTGTTTTATTGTGTTTTTTCTTTATCTGAGGGTCGTTGTCTTGCCATTTCCCAATTTCTAGGATCATTGTCCTTAGTTCCAGACTATACCCATTGGTATCTATTTTGTTGATTGAAAACTTCTTTTCCTGGCGGTCATCGTTTGTTCTGGGGTATCTCGTCAGGGTGTCTGCAACGATGTTCTGCCTCCCCGGGATGTGTCGGATTTCCATCTGGTATTCCTGTAGCGCTAACGTCCATCTAGTTAATCTCCCGTTGGTGAGTTTACAATTTCTGATGAACGTTAATGCGTGGTGGTCGGTCAGTATTATGACCTTGTGTCCGATCAGATATTGCCTAAATTTCTGGCAGCAATACACCAATGCTAGTGCTTCGATTTCTGTGGTTGTATATCTGGTTTCAGCTTCCTTCAGTGTTCTACTCGCGAATCCGAGTGTTGCATGTTCGTTCCCCGCTAGTATCTGGTATAGTTCTCCGCCTATCGCAGTATTTGATGCGTCCGTGTTCATGTATAACGGTTCTGTAAAATCTGGATATGCAATTATTACTTCGTTTATGAACATTTGTTTTGATTTGTTGAATGCCTGTTCGTGCTTGTCTTCCCATGACCATTTGTTGTTTTTTCTTGTTAGTTCGATTAGTGGTTTGATTACATTTGCAAATTTATCGATGTATCTTCTGTAGAAGTTTATGAATCCTAGGTATCTTTGAACGTCCTTCACTTTGGTGGGTGTTTTGAATTGTTTTATCGTTTCCACTTTTTCTTGATCCATGTGTGTCCCTTTCTCTGATATTATGTGTCCAAAGAATTTCACCTCGGTTCGAAAGAATTGACATTTTTCCAGGTTCACCGTGATATTGTGTTGTTTGAATTTTTCTAGTACAATACGGATATGCTCATAATGTTCTTCTATTGATCCTGACGTTATTAATATGTCGTCGACATATACCGTCACGAACGTGTGCAGTATTGGACCAAGTATGTAATCCATGCATTTTTGAAATTCTGACCCACTTATGTTGAGTCCGAATTTCATGCGTTTGTATGAATAGTTTCGTCCGTTCACTAGGAATGAACACGGGTTTCGGCTTTCTTTGGCTAGTGGAATTTGCCAGTAACCTGATCTTAGGTCTAGTGTACTGATGACTTTTACTTTGTTGAATTTTGCCAAAATTGTTTCTATCGCCGTTGGGCATTCCCGGTCTGGTATTATTTTTTCGTTGAGTTTCCGTGCATCTAGGCATAATCTGACTTCCCCGTTTTTTTTAAATATCGGTACGATTGGGATAGAGTATGGGGATTTTGATTTTTCTATGATGCCTAGCTTTAGCATTTTTTCTATTTCTGCTTCTACTGCCTGCGTCTTTGCAATCGGTATTGGATATGGTCGTTGGTTCACCGGTGTCTCATCTCTCAGTTTTATTGTGCACTCGTATCCAATTGCTTTGCCAGGTGCGTTTCTGAATACTTCCTGGAATTGGTCCAATAGCATGTCAATATATTCCTGTTCCTGTGGTTGTATTGGTTTCCTTGGACCTTTCGTCTCAGGTTCTTTAATTGATTTTGTTGATATGATGCTTATTTGTGATATGTTGGTTGTCTTCCTTTTTATTGGTAGGAATGTGTTCCCAGCGTCAGTTTGTAATGTTATTTTGTTCTTTGTGTAGTCTATAGGTGCGATTCCTAAGGAAGCGTCTAGTGACGCTTGACCGGCGCGGCTGACGCGGCGCGTTTTGAATTTTCGACGCGCGACTGAATAGGTATTCCTTACAAACTACAAATCGCGCGGCAGGACTTATTTACTTTATTATCATCAATATATCATATGTTATTTTAAAAATATGATATGATATCATATTCATCGTTTGCATCGTGTTTTACTTTACCTTTTTGTCGTGTATCGTGTTTGATTATTTATCCATGTTGCTCAGTAAAAAGAAAAAAGTTCTTCTACATCTGCTTTTAGAAGAAGTAGACGAAGAAGAAATGATAATCAAACATATACTATGTAATAAAGCAAAAAAAGTTCACGAGATGTTTCGAGCTAGAAAAATGGAAGGTTTTTTTAATATTTTAATTGAAAAGCATTTATATCGAGACGACAGAAAATTTAGAGAGTTTTTTAGGCTAAGTTGGGATCAATTCAACTATGTTCTAAACCTCATCGAAGATGACATAAAAATAAACCCTTGTAACAAAGTTGGAGAACCAATTACTGCGGCTGAAAAATTAGCAATAACATTAAGGTAAGCATTTATTATTTTAATTCTTTATGAGAATTTATTAAAATAAAAATGTATAAAAAATACAACAAAGAAATATGAAGTATTTTATCATATGTATCTAAGATGTGACTCCAATTATACCATTATTATGGAGCCAATAATGAATAGGTACTGTATATTTATATAGCACATTATATATATACATATTATACATATATATATATGTAATATTGTAATATATATATATATATATATATATTACATATATTATATACATAATAAATAAAATCAAAATTCATATAATATCTAGTTATGATAGAAATTATATAAATTTAATCCAGTCCATCCATAAAAATGTATTACAAATTATCAAAATTAAGTAAATTAGTATTTAACTTAAAAACAAAACTAAAATTAAAATTATAAAATATTATATTTATTTAAACATTTGATTTATTGTGTTAGTTACTCAAAATTCTCCAAAATTGTATTAGAAATTCATATGTTAAGATTTAAAATATTCAATGACTAATACTGATATGCTGAAATGCTGAATGCATTTATATGAATTATTTATATAAATTTTTATTTTTATTATTTATAATTTATATGCATTATATTTATATTCTCCAGTGAATCTTGATAAATAAATATATATTAAATATTTTGATCATTAGTTTCTGGTAAATGTGTAACTATGTGCTTAGGAACCATAAAAACTACATAGTCAAATATAATAATTAGATAGAAAAAAAAACAAATAATTGAATACAAATATTATACTTTTTTGATAAAAAAAATTGAGATATTCAATTAATAAAACAACTGTAGTACCTGTATACAATAACAAAACCATTTTTTAATTAAAAAAAAATACCCACTCCTTTTTTGAGAAACTAATAAAAATGATTAAAAAAAAACTATCTACTACAGGAATTATATAAAACAAAAATTATTAAATAAAAATGTTTAATTATTATGGAACTCTTGTGTCCAATTGGGTATTGGAGATGTAACATCAAACTCACTTGAGTTTGATGTAGAGTTATAGTCAATGAAGTTTGACGTTTGAGTTGTAGGTGTTACTCTTTCAGGGAAAACATAATCTGAAGTACTAACTGGCTGATACATTGGTCTAATATTTTGAAACTCCAATTCATTTATTATTCTGAACACATCCATTTTAGCTTTTGCTTGCAGCTCTGGAGAAAACATTTTAACAGTAAGAGCCATACTTTTAAAAAAAGCTTCAATAGGGTCCTCTTCATTTGTTTTTGATAACTCTTGTAATAAAAGTCTCCTTTCTTCACCTCTCCTATTTAAAACTTGGATTAGAGCATCATTTTTTTTGTGTCGTTTTATTCCTGCTATTGATGATGATGTTTTTTGTGTATCTGATACAACAGTCTCCTCAGCTTGGGGTTCAGATGGTTCATCTTCTGGCTCTATGGTTATATCAGCATTACTTTCATGTAAGTCATCATTATCCTCATGTATATTACTTTTTTCAATTGATGTCACATTTGTTAAGGTCCTTTAACATTAATTAAAACAATGCTATTTAGTATTATGATAATAAATTAAATATTTAAAAATGTTTAAATTGTTAAATTTACGGTCTTTCATATATCGTTTTGTCAAGAAAAGATAACATATCCTCAAGCATCCATTTAGAAGGTTTGTCTTTAGCAGCAGACCCAGTGCCCATCTTTCTGCTTCTTCTTTTTTTGTTATAGGTATCTTTCATATTCTTAAAACGCTTTTTACAATCATCAACTAAATCAATATACATATGTCATTAAAAAAAATTTACTCTGTCAAAAATTATTAAAATGTAATACAAGGTTCCTCATAAGTATAAGTTTTATTTAATACAAAAAATTCAATTACATACAAACATTTATTTTCGGCTAAAATTATAAAAAAAAAATGAGCATATGTCAACTAAAAAAAGCGGGTAAGTAAGTGGATGTCGCTCTGCTGTACTGTAGTTTACAAGTGGGTTACTGTAATGGATGGTATTAAATTGGAATTCAATGATATAATATCATTGTATACGAAAAACGTTTCTGATCGGATACGAGTTTTCAGTCTAGGATATTTTATAATATATTAATTATATTATTTTAAAAAAAAAATGTAGGTACCTATAAAATAAATTCCAAATCAATCAAATTAGATTCATTAAATTACGTGGAACCTTGTATCAAATGTTCAATCCTTAGCTATAAAAGTTAAAAATTTTATAAATATTATACATTTTTAACAACTAAAGAATTTGTAAATTTTCAATTAAACAAATTTTGTCAAAATTTGAACTTTAAATGGTTATAAAAAAAAATCGTGTCTATGTATTTTTAATATTTTTTAATTAGTATTGCGACAATATATCAGAAGTCTTGTATCAAATTTTGAAGCTTTTTTACCAAACGACTAAAATTTTATTGTCATTTATAAAAAAAAAAAAACTAAAAAATATAGAAAATTTGAAATGTCTACTTAAAAAGATTTTAAAATTTTTGAAAATTTTATCATATATAGAAAATGCCTGTATAAACGTTCAGTGAAAATTATTTTTAGTAATTAATTTTAGAGTTACACCAATATCTAAAATCGATTTTTTCAAAAATTGATTTTGCGTAAAAATTCACGTTTTTCCTTAATTTTTTTTTTTGGATTTTCCCGGTGCTTTTGAAAACTATTGGGAATTTCAAAAATGACCTCCCCCCTTGCAGCAACTAGATTTACTTTCGAACCAAAAAAGCTACTGAAGTTGAAAACCGAAGCATTATTTCGACAAGTTCTCGTGTACACAGACACAAAAAAAAAACACAACATTGTAAAATCAATACATTCTTCGCTCCGCTCAAAATCTAAAATTGAAATCAATATCGAAAATTTTAATTTCGATTTCAAGCGCTGACAAAGATAAATTAAAGGCACAAAAAAAAATTTTAAAAAACATCATCGTAAAGTCAATACATTCATCGCTTCGTTTATTTCAGAATCTAACACTTGTAACGTGCCCAACAGCGTTACTTGTTGATTTGGAAGCAATAATAGAACAATAACCTCTTTTGATTGTATTTATTGTATTTATTTTATAAACAGTTTTATGGAATTTATCCTAAGTCCAAATAATAAACTAAAAGCGAGTTGTGACTATGAGTATTTAGTGGTGTGACTGTCGAAGTTGAGGTTGGTTGCTCGTCTGACGGACGCCCGTCCATCAGCTCTCCTCGATGGATCTCTGTCCCTTGCCACTTCCATACTTTTTAAGACCATATATGGTCTTGCGGTTAAGCCTTTTGTGACCTTTTGTGGATTTCACACGCTTGCACGCGCCGGAAATCTACATATCTCTATATTGTAAATTTGTGGTGTTATTTAACATAATTATATTCATATAATCATAATCAAGTAGTTATTCATATACGTAGTCATATATCTATTGTCGCACGCAGCTCATGGTCACGCGCTTGATATAAAAATTATGGATATTATATTATTACTCTATTAAGCGCTCGTGTATAATATTTAAATTTACGCGGTGCGAACATTATATGATTACGTATGCATTGAATGTGTTTAACCCATATAACTAAATAGTCACAGCTCGCTACACACTAAATTATACTATACAATTTACTTTTAAATTTTAATTATTAATATTATAATATATATATATATATATAAATAGATGTAAATGTTTATAATATATTTATTAATGTATTTATTATTTAATAGATTCATGGCGACAGGAGAGTCACTACGTTCTTTGGCATTTTCATTTCGCATATCACAGAGTTATATTACTAGAATTTTACAATTGGTTTTTAAGAGTTTGAGTTCGCGACTGACACCAATTTTAATAACGTCACCATCAAAAGAAGATTTACTGCGTATTTCAGCTGAATTTTGGACGAGATGGAATTTCCCCAACTGCGTTGGAGCGATCGACGGGAAACATATACGGATCTTTTGTCCCCGAAAAACTGGATCGCTCTTCTTTAATTATAAGGACTTTTTTTCAATTGTTTTACTGGCCATTGTTGATGCCAATTGTAAATTTATGTACGTAGATATTGGTGCGTATGGCAAGGAAGGCGACAGCGGAATATTCACAAAATCCAGTTTATTCAAACGAATACAACAAGGAGAATACTTCCCAGATTGCTCCAAACTTCCGAATTCCGAACAGTCATTGCCATACGTTCATGTCGGTGATGAAGCGTTCAGGTTAGAGCCTCATATGATGCGACCATATACACGAGGTGAGGCAAGGAACGATTATGAAAAAACGATTTTTAATTACCGTTTGTCACGAGCCAGAAGAAGATCGGAAAACAGTTTTGGACTTTTAAGTCAAATATTTCGTGTTTTCTATACTCCTATAGCTTTAAAAACCGAAACTGTTGATAATTTAGTATTATCAGCTTGTTGCCTTCACAATCTGCTTCGTAATAGATATTTGGAAACAACAAACAATTATTACTATGAATTTGACAATAGTGAAATACCCCCCTCCCAAAGTATGATTCCACTTGCTAGATCGGGAGGATACGCAAATTTTGATGGTTTTTTTGTGAGAGACAAGTTTAAGTGTTATTTTAATAGTACACAAGGGGCTGTTCCATGGCAAGATCAACAAACACAACAAACTGATACTTGATACTTATTACTTTATACTTTATAATTTTATATTATGACTTCATATTACGAGTAGGTATATGTATTATAATCTAAAAAAGAAAATATTGTTTTTAGAATTTTAGTATTAAAATTATTAGGTATTATTATTTCTTGTATATTATGTTTAACGATGATCATTTACAAAATGTATTTAATTTTTTTTACATTTTTCACTTTAATTTTTTTAATTAATAAAATATAATATTACAATATAATAATTAAATGTAAATAAATATACTTACCATTTTTCTTTAAACGCGTGGATATTTCTTTCCATACGTTTTCTTTTATGTGTATGTCTTTATACGCACTATGTTGTAAATCATACAGACATGGATGTCTGCTAACATAATCAGCCAGCAGAGAATCCTCTTCAAATGTAAAAGTCACTTTTGAAGACATTTTACAAAAAAATATTTTAAATAACAACAAAATTATATGTACTCAACGATGCTCGGTCGCGCGTCTCGTGCGTTTTGACCGCCTACGGAGCAGTCGTCAGTCGCGCGTCTACGGACGCATGCGCCGCGCGGCGATGTTAGGAATCGCTTACATTTAAAAATAGGTAAAGAAGTCCCAGCGCGACCAAAAATAGAATCGCGCCGAGTCAGCCGCGCCGGTCGCGCGTCACTAGTCGCTTCCTTAGGAATCGCACCTTATGGTGGCATTGTTTAGTACCAGAAAATCGCTGCCTAGAATCCCGTTTTCATTCAGCACGTCTATTGCATTGAATGGTGTTTGGATTGTGATTTCGCCCATCTTTGTTGGTATGAGTACTTGTCTTGTCACTTTCGTTGGTTTTTCGCCGACTGCTAAGTGTATACTCATCCCGACCAATGGTAGTGTTGGTATGTCTTGCATACCTTGTCGTATGTCATTTACATACTTGGCCGATAGTGCACTCACTTCTGCTCCTGAATCGACTAGCATTTCGTATTGTTTGTTTATTATTGATATGTCCACATATGGGCATCCCTTTGGTTCTGATTGTCGCGTCATGTTGTTGAAGTTGTCTTCGTCCGTCAAATCCATGCTGTTCAGTTCTGTTGGGTGTTTTGTCGGGTCTTTTCCATTGTGATTTCCTTTATTGTAACTTATTCGGTTGATTTTTTTTTGACTTGGGGTGTTTTGTACTGTGGTCAGTCTGACTCCACAGTCCCCTGTTCGTAGTTTTTTGTCATATTGCTTTCGGTGGTGACATCCTCAGGTTCTTCTTCTTCTCCCGTCAGCATGATTTGTTTAATATTTTTTGTGATGTTTGTCTTATCATAAATTCGTCCATTTCCATCTGTTTCTGCTACGTTATTGGTTTGTCGTGGAGTCGTTGGTATATTGTTGTAATTGCTTGATTGTGGTGGTCCGGGTTTTTTGTATGATGGATTTGATCTGTAAGTTGGTCGGCTTCTCGGTATTTCTTGTTGATTATTTGTTGTTTGTTTGCTATAACCATTTTCAAGTTCTCCCAGTTTCTCCCAGATGTTTAGGAATTTCCATTCTTGAGTCGTCTGGATGTATGCTTGTATAGCCATGGGAAAATGTTTTATAATCAGGTTGATTGCCTGTGTTTCGTCCATTTTTGGTGTGTCTAAATACTTAAGTTCCACCATCCAGTAATGGAAATGTTCTTGAAAATTGTTACTGATCGGTTTTTTCCCTGCTTCCGTACATTTGATAAAAATGTCCCACTGCTTGTCTTCCGAGAAGTAGTGTTTTAGAAATAACGTTTTGAATGTTTCTTCTGTTGGTATCGTGTCCTTGATCATCTTGAACCATTTGGCCGCGTTACCATGCATACAATTCTCGATTATGATTAATTTTTCCGCTGGTATGATTCTTTTGTATGTCATATACGAATTGAGGTCTTTCAAAAAGGTTTTTGGATGTTCATCCGCCTGACCACTGAATTTCGGCATGGCCATTTCAACGGTGTTTGGTCTGCTGCACCCCTCTTCTTGCTGCGTGTTTTTTTAACGTTACCATTTCTTTCTCACGTTTGGCCGTTTCTATTGTGATTTTTGTATCCGTGTCGTTGATCATTTGTTTCACGGAGTTTATGTTGTCCGTTGATGACTGTTTCATGGTTTGTAATTCTGTCATTATGTTTTCGTATCTTGTTTGTTGGATGTCTATGATGTCTCGTAGTTGTCGCAGCTTCTCTTACAACTGATTGATGCGTTCCGTGTTGGTCTTGACCATTTTTCTGTTTGTCGTGTGGTTTTAGTCACTAGTTGGGCGCCAGTTGATACGGTGCAGTAGGACTGCCCGTGTCGTAGAATAAAGTCAACACAATGAGGTATTGGTATTACGTCATATTATTGTGTTAGAATGAATAATGTATGTGAATATAAATGCCCAATGGGCAGTCTTCGTCGGTGGCTGCCGTGCCACTGTTGGGATTGGTTGAGCTCCGCGTCTGGACTCGGTTTACCCGAGTGGACTGGTTGTTCTCTCCTGTGGCTGGCTCTGCGTCGCTGATGGATCACCGTCGTCGTGAGGGGTTCCCAGGTCGTCCGTGGATCGTGGGTCGTTTCCTCAGCGTCGGTAATTACTACCGGTCGGTTGAATTGGGCAGGAGTTGATTCTCCGTTCCCTATGTCTGGTGGTTGTGTTTGGTGTCGTCGTGCCAGCTGCGGGTCGAGTCGATGCCGTTGGCTTTGGTATCGACCGTGAAGTGGAATCGCCGAAGATCGACTACGTCGATTGAGGTTCGTGAGGTCTGCGTCTAGTCGCTCGACGGATTCCTCGTCGCGGCCGTGGCTCGGGTGGTTGAGGCTCTGAATGCGCCGGTTGATATAGCTAGCCGGGTCGTCTCCGTCACGTTGTTCCGTGGTTGCAAGCTGCTCGGCGGTCGGACTGGTCGGAGTCGTCGGCTATCTCGTTATCGGTGTCGGTCAGGGCTGGAATCTGGCTGTGAGTGGTCTTCTTTCTTCTGTTCTTCAGTACAAGTTATGTTGTTGACTGTTACTATACCAGGCTTTTGCCTCTACTAGTGGATGGAAGTTTAGGAAGGTGGTTTTAAATTTGTTGGTCAGCCCATGTCAAAGGGTAGGGTTTGATTCTACACTTTGTGGACGGTGGGGTGTGAGATTTCCCTAAGAGTCGGATGATGATCGTTCGGTAAATGTTCGTTCGGTAAATTGTCCCGGTATATATACTTTCCAATTCACTGTCAACGATTCTGATTGGCTGGTGAGGTGCCGTATGACGAGTTAAAACCGCACCGTTACCTGGTGGTTGCCTTTGGTTTGGTACGGTTTTCCCTTGTCATATTGGTGAAATATATTTCTATAAAATCTAGTCTTTGTTATGACACCCCGCGTGGTTATGTGTCGGTCTAAGTTGGTAGTGGACCTGCAAAGGACCATTTTAAGTTATACTCCGTTACAAGGTCGGAAACACTTTTATTATATTAAAACAAACATAAATTAAACACTTAGCAAATCCGGATTGCCTAGCTCGTACTACGATCGACGTTTCACACGTACGACCACAGTACCTACGTCCTCGCCGATTCACTCAGCGACAACGGGACTTCTCCGTGCCTGCGCGTGCGGCGGTGTTATATAGTAATCTTATCGCTGTCTCAGCACATATGCTTCACTGACCTATGTCAATAGTTTACAATTTAAAATGTTCCCACCTCTATTACATATATGAAATAATATTTTGACGACTGTCTACAATATACGACAGTCCCCATTGTTTTTTGAAAAAAATGCCCTCATTTTTAATGATGTTTCTACATACAAATGTCTTATTACTACATTAAATACTAATCTACTTTTACACTATATTTCTGTCTCGGCTTATTCGCGTCGTTGACTATAAAATTATGCTTAAATGTTAATTTTTATTTACTAATTTATTTTTTAATGCGCTGTTTTTTTTTTTTTTTTTTTTTTTAAACAAGCAATGATATACTAACACAGTATAAAATAAATCCTACAGACTGCCTAGGCAGCGAAAAATATTTAATGCTAGAAACCCAGATAGTAGACTATTCTAACGAAGTAATCTTATACAATTATTCAAACGTATATAGTAATATTCCAAAAAGAATGACAATAGCCACAATTCACGAATTAAACATACAAAAGGTGGGTAAGTGGATGTCGCTCTGCTGTACAGTAGGTTACAAGTGGGTCACTGTATAATGGATGCTATTAAATTTGAATTCAATGATAATAAGAAAAACGATTCTGAGCGAAGACGGTATGTCAGTCTAGGTTTAATACAAATTATATACATATCTATGGTGTTAAAAAAAAAATTGACCTATAATAAATTAAAAATTAATCATATCACATTATCACAATATCCATTAGGTACTTATAACACGTTATACATCAACATCAACAACAAACCCTGATACTATCATATATATATATAATAGTACACTTTAGAAGTTTCAAGTAGGTACCCACGAATAATATTATATAATCACAACAAAATAACTAGGTTTTTTAATATGTAATTTCGTCCAAATTTGAACATAAAATGACTATAAAAGTAAACTGTGATTGTATATTTTTTAGATTTTTCGGTAAGAGAATTAACTACTTACGTGGAATCTTGTTTTAAATTTTCAATCCTTAGCTATAAAAACTGAACATTTTATAATTTATTAATTACGATGATTAATAATTTTCGAGATTTTGAAAAATTCTATCAAAATTCGATGTTAAAATGCTTATAAAAAAAAATTGTGCCTATGTATTTTTAATATTTTTCATCTGCCTTTGAAACAACATATTAGGAGCCTTCTATTAAATTTTCAAGCTTTCGCAACCAACAAATAAAATTTTATTGAAATTTTTAGAAAAAAAACTAAAAAAAAATGGAAAATGAAAATGTCCCTAAACAGTTCAAAATAAATCAAAATATTTTGAAAATGTTATCGTGTATAGAAAATGCAAATATAAACAACCAGTGAAAATTTCATGTATATACGTTCATTTGTTTTAGAGTTACACCAATAACCAAAATCGATTTTTTGGAAAATCAATTTTGCGTAAAAATTCCCGTGTTTCCTTAATTTTTATGTTGTTTTTCCCGGCGCTTGTGAAAACTACTGGGAAATTTATACTTTTGACCCCCCAAAGTACCAACTAGATTCACTTTCCTACCAGAAAAGCTACTGATGAAGAAAATCCAAGCACTTTTACTGTCCTAAAACGTGATGACAGACACAAAAATATAAATAAAAAGGTGGGTAAGTGGATGTCGCTCTGCTGTATAGTAGGTTACAAGTGGGTCACTGTATAATGGATGCTATTAAATTTGAATTCAATGATACAATATCATTGTATAAGAAAAACGATTCTGAGCGAAGACGGTATGTCAGTCTAGGTTTAAGACAAATTATATACATATCTATAGTATTAAAAAAAAATTGACCTATAATAAATTCCAAATTAAGCATATCACATTATCACAATATCCATTAGGTACTTATAACACGTTATACATCAACATCAATAACAAACCCTGATACTATCATAGATATATAATAGTACACTTTAGAAGTTTCAAGTAGGTACCCACGAATAATATTATATAATCACAACAAAATAACTAGGTTTTTTAATATGAAATTTCGTCCAAATTTGAACATAAAATGACTATAAAAATAAACTGTGATTGTATATTTTTTAGATTTTTTGGTAAGAGAATTATCTACTTACGTGGAATCTTGTTTTAAATTTTTAATCCTTAGCTATAAAAACTGAACATTTTATAATTTATTAATTACGATGATTAATAATTTTCGAGATTTTGAAAAATTCTGTCAAAATTCGATGTTTAAATTCTTATAAAAAAAAATTATGCCTATGTATTTTTAATATTTTTCAACTGATATTGTAACAATATATCAGGAGCCTTGTATTAAATTTTTACACTTTTTGTCCCAACAGATAAAACTTTATTGATATTTATAGAAAAAAAAACTAAAAAAAATTGAAAGCTGTAAATGTCCATAAACAGCTCAAAAAGAGTCAAAATATTTTCAAAATTGTATGGTGTATATGAAATGCTAATATAAACTTTCAGTGAAATTTTCATGTATCTACAGTTATTTGTTTTTGAATTACAACAAAATAAGGAAATCGCTACATGGGAAATCGAGTGAACATCCAATGTTGTAAAAATTTGAATTTCAAACGCTCATAAAAATTTAATTTGAGTTTCTTATAGACATTTTTTTTTTGATAAAGGTAGATAATCTTATAAGGAATCTTGTGTTTAATTTTCAAATCTTAGATTTAAAACGAAAAATTTTTACGAATTCTTAACTCAAAATAATTTGCTAATTTTCGTGATTTTTCCATATTTTGTCAATTTTTGAACTTTAAATGCTTATAAAAAAAAATTGTGACTAAGGATTTTTAATATTTTTCATCTGCCTTTGAAACAACATATTAGGAGCCTTCTATTAAATTTTCAAGCTTTCGCAACCAACAAATAAAATTTTATTGATATTTCTAGAAAAAAAACTAAAAAAAAATGAAAAATGAAAATGTCCCTAAACAGTTCAAAATAAATCAAAATATTTTAAAAATGTTATCGTGTATAGAAAATGCAAATATAAACAACCAGTGAAAATTTCATGTATATACGTTCATTTGTTTTAGAGTTACACCAAAAACCAAAATCGATTTTTTGGAAAACCAATTTTGCGTAAAAATTCCCGTTTTTCCTTAATTTTTATGTTGTTTTTTCCCGGCGCTTGTGAAAACTATTGGGAAATTTATACTTTTGACCCCCAAAGTACCAACTAGATTCACTTTCCTATCAGAAAAGCTACTGATGAAGAAAATCCAAGCACTTTTACTGTCATAAAACGTGATGACAGACACAAAAATAAAAAAAAAAATAAAAAAAAATAAAAAAAAAAATAAAAAAAAAAACACACATCATTGTAAAATCAATACATTCATCGTTTCACTCAGAATCTAAAATATAAAAAAAAACATACATCATTGTAAAACCAATACATTCATCGCTCCGCTCAGAATCTAAAATTGAAAACTGAAAATGTCCGTAAACAGTTCAAAATAAATCAAAATATTTTGAAAATGTTATCGTGTATAGAAAATGCAAATATAAACAACCCTGAATATTTTCTGAAAAATCGATTTTGTGTAAAAATTCCCGTTTTTAATTAATTTTTCTTTTGTTTTTATTGGCGCTTTTGAAAAGTACTGGGAATTTTAAATTTTGACCTCCCCAATGCACCAACGATATTCACTTTCCAATCGAACAAGATACTGAAGTCGAAAATCGAAGCATTATTTCGACTACTTATCGTGTACACTGTACACAGATACAAAAAAAATAAAAAAATAAAAAAACACACATCATTGTAAAATCAATACATTCATCGTTTCACTCAGAATCTAAAATAATTAACACTAATTACAACAAATTAAATTTAAAACAGACAAATCGATATTTCAACCGCCGTAATTATTTTTTACTGTATAAAATTAACTCGGAATATTAAGACAAAAAAAATCTCTACCTGTGGCAATACTATGTGAGGATCTAGAAACAATTAGAAACATATAATTCATAAATACATATTAATGATTAATAATTTTTTTATAACATAAATATAAATTGAGTTATATTTTAATATACTGTATTATAATGTATGAAATTTTTACTCAGAATATAGATAAAAAAATGTATGTGAATACATATAAGGTTATAATAATTTATTGATTGGCTCTTTGTGGAAAATGTTTTCTTAGATATTTTTCTCTGTTTGAAGTATAATATTTTTATTTCGACAAATAGCAGTAAATGTTCGTTGTTCTTCTATGGGATTTTATTCTTCGATTCTGTGGTAGTTAATTCTTCTTCTCTTTTTGTATTTCATAAGGTAAGTATTTATTATCTTGCTTGTTTTAGTTTTTTTTTGAATTTGATTTGTATATATTATTTTTTATTCTTATTTTATTTCTATTTTTAAAATGTCTATTTGGACTGCAGTTTCTTCTTCGTGTCTTCGTATGAAAAGGTATTTGCTTATTGTTTTTATAATTATTGGTTTAATGCTTATTGTCTACTTTGAAAATATTATATTCGCACTTTGTCTCAGAAGATTGTTGCGGCTTGTTGTCTATTGACTCGTTAATTTTGATTATGCTGAAAATACATCCTATTCTTTTGGTTTTTTTTTTTTTTACATGTTTTTAATATTTTATTATTTTCCCTTAAATGTAATTGTGATATTAATTCATATATATATATATATATACTATATAGGTAAAGAGTTAATTGAACTTATACATGACATATACTTAATTTATTTACTTAATTTATTACTGTGTTTAATTACATATTAGTTAGTTATATTTATATTTTCCTAAAAGGGGGTTTATTATTATATTGTTTTGATAAATTTTAATTTTTACAATTACATTAATTTTGATTAAGGTAATATTTAGAAAAATTATTCAATGGACTTGATAACATTTATAAGATTCTCGAAGCCCTCCTGGATTTTTATCAATGTTTTCGGTAACTTTCTTATGTCTTCGTTGTTGGTGTTTGTTCTCGGGTTTAATTTCTTGTTTATTTTTTACTAGGGAATAATCTATACATGATAGATTTGAGCCTGTGTCTATTATTGCATTTTGTTCGTTGCCGTCTAGTTTTATTTGTATGGATAGCACTCTTTGTTTCCGGCATGTGTCTGAATCTACGCTTGTATTTTGATTTTTGATTTTAATTTCGTTTTTGTTTTGAATTAGCTGGTTTTTGGTTTCTATGGCTTTCTCGTCTTCTTGTATGGGCCGATTCCGATATTCTCTTATGTAGTTTCCGCATATTTCACAAAACATAACGTTTCCCCCCTCACTCCAATACTCTTCTTTGTCATCATGGTCGTCTAGTACATCCTTGGTTGTGGACAAATATTCGCAGTCTTGGCAAAATTGTGAGTACCATATTGTTGATTTGTCAGTTTTAAAATAGTTGCCGGTTTTATTTTTTTCTATTGTGTTTTGTTGTGATAATTTTAAGCGATCAAAACATTCGTATAAGAAATGGTCTACATTTTTTTCTACAGTATTAAAGTCGGGAAAAACTGTGTTTATTATTATGTTATTGAATTGACGTGGTTTATATATTTTTGTGATAATTCCTGGTGTCCAATTATAATCTTTTTCGAATATCCCTATACTTTTCCTATTTGATTTCCAGTATATTATGGCATTTGTATGTTCGGAGTCTTCGTGTATTAAATATAAGTTTAAATTAAATTGGTCGCAGATAAATGCTAGATCGTCATTTTTAAAATAGTAGCCAGATTTGCAATTAGGAATGCCGAGCATATTTAATAGTTCTACCGTCTTTCTATATATACCATGTTGTTTCAAGCATATTCGCAGTGCGTGGGCACCACAATCACCGTCACCGGGTACGTCTTTCGTTTTTATGAATGAGCCAGCTATTAGTGCGATTTCATTCTTTAAATTATCACTGATCGTGTTATTAAAATTTTTACCTATCGTAATATTAGTAGTTTGGGAATCATTGTTTTTATAATGTTTATTTTGTTTTTCATTGTCGTTGCTCGGCAGTAGGCATATTAAAATTTTTATTTGCGTGTCTTGAAAAATAAACTTAATCATGGTAGAAATAACGTTCCATTTTGTCTTGTCCAGTGCAAATTTTGGGTAATGCTAAGGTAGTAATATTATTTTTTATACAAAATTGCCTAGTATTAGTTAATGTGCTAAAAATGTTAGTGTATGCTGGTTTGTCGTAATATTTATTTTTTGTTATGAGGTATAGAATCCATTGTCTTCCGTTTTTCAAATAAGCAATTTCGGTCGGTTTTTTTTCTTGGTCTATTCAATTTTGAACGTTGTTAAATTAATTTCTAAATTGTAATGCGATCCCCTTCGACATGGTGAGGCATTGGCTTGTGCAATGGCCGATTGCGATATCATTTGGTAATGAAAATATATTTACCGTCTTATTGTTACGATGTTTTCTATAGATTTTTCGTCATCGTCGTATATTTCATTAGTTATTAATTTATTTGAATTTGTTGATTTGTACCAATTTTCTACAAAATGTATATAATTATTTTTCTCAATCTGCTTCTCTTTGTTAAATTTTGAGGTATCGATTTTGGTATTAGCATTATATTCCGATTTTTCTCTTAGCTCGGGTGCTATTCGTTTTTTGAAAAATTGCAATTGTTAGCATAGTGTCCTTTACCATTGCATTTGTAGCATGTTATTTTTCCTCTTCCATTAACTCCTTCCGGCGTCGTGGATCTTGAATATCTTTCTCTGCTGTTTTCCCTACTATACTGTTTCATATTTGTGTCATTTTCACTATTTCTGTTGTTATAACTATTTTTATCTCTGGATCTGTCGTAGGAGTTTTCTCTATTTCTTGAGTCAGACCTATCTCTATTATTGCTCATTTCTCTACTGTTATATCTATATTTATTGTTATTGTATCTATCTCTACTACTTTCTCTGAGCTTATAGTTGTTGTACCTATCGGAATAAGGACTTTTTTCCCTATAATTGTTCCTGCCTTCGTGATCTGTTCTTCCTGGATATGGACTTTGGTCTCTGTATTCACGTTGTCGTACTCGGTAATTTGTTTCTCTATTATAACTTCTGCTCCTATCTTCATTATAATTATAATTTTTATTATTATATCGATTATCTATTTCTTCATCATCGAAGTTTACCAATTTATTTCTTCTTCCTGTAATGTTGATTTGTTGAATATTTTCCAGTAACTGGTTCATCTCCTTTTTGTATTCTCTATCTCTTTCTATTAACTGTCTTTTTAGTTCATCGATTTCTCTTCCTTTTTCTTTTGTTTTTTGGTTTAGTTGAGACACATGTTCATTAAGCATTTCTGTATAATCACTTAATTCTGGTCCTCTGTTATTAATTCGAAATTGCATCAATTCAAATTTTTTTAAATTTTTCTTTAGTTCCTTTAGGTTACTATTGTCGTGTAATGAAATCGCATGTAAGACTGTCTCTTTAATCCCTTTAAAATATAAGTGCAAATTTCTTCTTCCTGCATATTTTTATTTAGTTGTCTACATATATTTTCTATTTCTGTTACAAAACTCATTATAGACTCTGTATCTCCTTGACGTCTATTTTCTAATCTAGTTTTTAAAATTGTATTGTAACCCATTGGTTGAAATTCGTCGAGAAACTCCTGTTTCAAATTATTCCATGTCCAATTATTATGTTTGTCTTCCAAATTTTCCAAAAATATACTTGCTGTACCTTTTACGAATATCGATAAAAATCTTACTTTATCTTCGTCCTTCCAACCGTTTACATCTGCTGCTTTTTCGTATTGCTTGAAATATTTTCTTACGTCCTCATTACCTGAGAACTGGTCTGGTCTAATCATTAGAATTTTTTCTGTCATTTTCTGTGTTTGTTTATTTAATGGAGTAGAATGAATTTCAGAGTTTAGGTTATCTCCTTTTTGATTATTTATTGCTGTGTTTTCGTTTTTGAATTTTGGTTTTTCCCTTGTGTTATTAGAATCAATAGTTGTTGAATTATTAAGATTTATTAATTTATTTTCAATAATCTCACTATTTTCTGGTTGAGTATTTAATTTTAATTCCTCATAAATATTATTAGAAGTATCGTTAATCTTAAGATTTTTTAATATATTTTCATAAGTATCAGAACTTTCTTTTTGACAATTTTGGTAAGTTATATCTGAATTTTCTAGAATATTTTTGGTGTTATTCACAAATGAGCTTGTACTGGCATTAAGATTATCGTATAATTTTAAATTATCTTTTGATATTTCTGAAAAGCTGTCTGAAGTTAATTTATTAATTGTATTTGTGTCAGTGCTTGAATCGCTCGAATCGAGTATTCCTGCTTCTTTTTAAAATCGATTTTATTAGTTTTTGCTTTGATTAAAATTAAATCGCATTCTTCTTTGCTTAATGTGTTATCTATGTCGTCTAATGTTATGGTGCCTTTTAAGTATCTACTAAGTCTAGCTCTTAATTCACTAGTTGTACCTGTTGATTTTAATTTTTTATTTTCGCAATATTTAATAAGAAATGGTTTTTTGAGAGTATAGATTTCTGTTGCAGTATTTATTGTTATTGAAAGATCCGATTTAGGGTCTTTAAGTTGATTCATTAATTTATAAAATTTGAAAAATTAATTTAAATAATCCTAAATCTATACTAGGACATTTTAACGGTTTTTAATTATGTTTATCTACAATTAACCTACTTTTTACTCTTGGTAAAATCCCTACAAATTTAAATTATTAAGAAGTTTGACAAAAAAAAAAAAAATACTACTAGATTAATTATAATACTATGTTATTGAATAAAAAAAAATCCTATTTAAATTTAAAAAAAAATCTAATCTACAATCCTAATATTAATACGTAAGTATATCACTTAAATTAAAATATTTTTGCGGTTATAATTATATCGAATAAAAATTTTGAAAAGTAAAAGAGAGAAATAGAGAGAAAAAATTGAACTAAAAAAAAATATATTATTTAAATAGTTTCTTTAAAAAAACCTAATCTACTTGTTTAAAACTTAAATTAAAATTTTGCGGTTATTTAAAATCGAAAAAAAATTTTGAAAAATTATTGAACTAAAATTCTATTTAAATTGTTTTAAGAAAAATCTAATCTATAATCCTAATATAAGTATTAAGTATATTACAAAACGTTGCTCACCTTGGCGTATATTTGTAGACGCACGGTTGCAAAAATTGTACCACGCGGCACAAAACTGCTGTCTTGTCGGTCAGACAAAAATCGAACGCGTATGTGTTACCTACTCACTCGGTATACACACGCACAAAAATTGCGTTCTGGGTTTACACTGCACCCAAAACACAAAAGGTATATTTTACTTTAACGGAAAAAATCACTAAACTCGCTCCGGGTTTTACTATCCGATACGTGCACAATTGTTGTACTTCACTTGTACCAAAAAAAAATGGTGTGTCAAGGGAATCTCTCCCAGACTACACGTAAAAACTGTTGTACTTCTCGTACGTAAACACTTTCAAAAAAATTAAACTTTCCAAGGTTGAGGTACCAGGGCACAAAAATCAAAAAATGTCTCGGACCGTGGATAAGTAACCCCGTTGGGCGCCACTCTGTGGTATCACCCGTATTGGATAATACGCGGTAAACCAACTTTATACCTTACCCTCGTACGCTCTAGGCTAATGACTGTCTCTAGAATAAATTCAGATTAGCACGGTTAACCTTTGAGGTACGATGGTAGCGTTTTGTCAGTTCTTCGTTCGTTTCCTAAATTGGAATGACTATTAGGACGCCACAACCAGAGCACTGTTCAGTTTGTAATAAACCTCATTGACTATAGGTGTGTGGGTCTGAGCACTGTTCCAATATTAAAGGTAAGAACGAAGAAGACTTTGAAATAAAACTCAACTCGGGTTTTTAGGTCGGACACACTTTTATTATATTAAAACAAACATAAATTAAACACTTAGCAAATCCGGATTGCCTAGCCCGTACTACGATCGACGTTTCACACGTACGACCACAGTACCTACGTCCTCGCCGATTCACTCAGCGACAACGGGACTTCTCCGTGCCTACGCGTGCGGCGGTGTTATATAGTAATCTGATCGCTGTCTCAGCACATATGCTTCACTGACCTATGTCAATAGTTTACAATTTAAAATGTTCCCACCTCTATTACATATATGAAATAATATTTTGACGACTGTCTACAATATACGACAATATGATTAGCCACTTTGTACAGGAACAACCAAAAAAATGGAGTATATACTTAAAATATGTACTATTGGCGTATAACACAGCAATTAATGATACAACGAAAAACACCCCGTTTTACCTATTACACGGATATAATCCAAAATCCATATTTGATCACAACTTTATAAGTACAGAAACATCCCCCTACATTTTACTGGAATTAGAAAAATTAAAAAATATTCGAGACGAACTCCCTAAATTATTAGCGGACAGATATTTAAAAAATAAAAAACATTATGACTCAAATAAGGTACAGGTAAAATTTAAATTAAAGGAAAAAGTACTGGTTAAAGACGAAAATAGAAAATCTAAATTTGCTTACAGGTACAACGGCCCGTTTAAAATAATGAATTAAATATCGGATGTAACTTATGTAGTAGAAATAATTAAAAATGGACAGTAAGTAAACGAATACAAACATGTTAGTCAGTTAAAAAAATATAAAGAACGATAAATACTGCATTAGAATAATTGTAATTATAGTATAAAATGAATATAATAAATATAACGTATAATAAATGTGGGAAAAGAAATAAAATTTTTATCGAATACCTATGCTTGCCTAATGAAAACATACAAAATGTTTTTATTACAACACATAAAAATGTGAATTTGAATTTTACTTGGTAAATATATATTAAGAATACCATGTATATACGTATATACATTTTTTTAAATGAGACACGTAAAATTAATAAGGTAAACACAAGCAAATGTTGAATTGCAATATTCGAAATAGTCTACGAAGTACTAATGAAATAGTAGCTCAGTAAATCAAAAATCAGCATAATAAAATAGATACTAAAAGGAAATACAATAAGAATATCATACCTCAATTTTTAAGTTATGTACAGCAAGCACAATTACAACAGTTTTAATTTTTTCTAGTACATTATCAAATTTTGTTACCCGTGTAGCATTCTAACGACTTTCAGTGCGTAAAAAATCTTACGATATCACTTTACCTTCATGCATAGTAATTAATTAATACATTTAAGAATAAGGTGTCGAGATAGAATAGTGCAATAAGAGTAATATTATTAAATAATCATTTATGTGCTTTAATTTTTTAGCATAAGGATAAATTATTTTACCATAACAACCACAAAAAAAGTGTAAGCAAAAAAAAGAGTGAGAAAGTTTACAAATTTAGGCGACTATAACTGAACCATAAACCTCGAATCCAAGACATATTATGGTGGTTCAATCAAGACCGTTCTCGACCGCGACGCCGAGGTTATAGCGGTACAGCTTGCACCAATCCAAGGACAGACCACGATAACAGACCTCCCTGTTTCAGTACTGGTTGAGGCCTTGCGGGACCGATGACATCCAAACGACGGAACGGGTGAAGAATAATTTCGGAACACTAATATCGTACATGAGTATGATGTGGATTTATATTGTAAATTTATTATAAGGCATAGGTATATTATGTAAAAAAAAAAGAGAGTGTGAAAACATGGGTTAGGCGTATATATACAAATGTAGAGAAAGGGTTCACATAAAAAATAAAAATGGTAGTAAAAAACTGGTTGAAATTTTACCATGACACTACCACGTCATTGACACATGCAAAATTTTAAGTAGATTTGATTTTCATTATATACATATACGATCGTCAAAAACTGATGAATCACGAAAAAAATTGATATAGTGCTCTAGCCACTCAAAAATACAATTAATATATTATTATTATGAGTGTTATCACATTGATAAGCCCGAGTAAATCAGAACTAATTTTAATAACTAAACATAAACGTGTGTGAAGTTGGGTGACCAAAGCTATATGACTATTTTTTTTCGGGCGGCTAGTGATAAGAAACCTTGCACGTTGGGTTGCATTCTTTAAATTTCAAGGGTGCCTAACTATTGCATCGAAATTATAAAGTAGATGTCGCCCTATGTCATTTAATAACTATTTATTTTAAAAGTATATAAATAAATAATAAATTCTATTGGCGTCATTACCACGATAATTATACCGAAACCATAACTATACCGAATTATACAAATCAATATTAATTAAAAGTTAGGTTATAAATTGCCCTAATTTCGAAGACACGTTCTAACAAATGTACATTGTACTTTTGCAGTTTACATTAACTAATTAAAAGTGTAAACTGTTTAACGATGTCATTTGTTAGAGATCACATTCTACGGAGACAGGTAAGTTTATGTTATGTTAATTGTTTTAATTATGTCATGTTCCGTTTACCTATCCACATACTGAATGGTAGTGTCTATGTAAACGAAAAATAGGCAAAACTCTATCTCTATGTATTGTATAAACAATTACATTTATTTGTCATAATTCAATTTTATAGTACTGGGTATTCATAGGTGGCAAGGGGAGGGGATCTAACGTAGATTTATTCCCACCCCCAAAATAATATATTTGAAAATAAAGCCCCCCTTAAAATGAGAAAATAACCAATTATTGTAGTTTAGTACAGATTACATAATTATGTATTTACATTTTTTTTATTATTATTCAACACCTATAAAAATATTATTTTTTATTATTCATTTATACAGTACAGAGCTAATACCGACTAATATCCAATTTCACAGTATACAATATCAAATAAAATAAAATTATATTTCAATTGTGTTTATTTCATTGTTGGTTTGATGGGGATGTAGGGATGTGTTTATTACCCAATGTTTTACAGGTTATCTGCCCATGTACCTATTATAAATATTCTAGGTACATTAAAAAGATGTATTTGGAGTTTCTATATTTATTTATTTTTGTAAGTAAAATATTTAATAAATAATAATATATATCAAATTATGACTTATATGAAAGTTGTTACTTGTTTGTATAACTGTAAAAATATAGGTAAATAAATAATTTTCATGATGAGAAATAGTTTTTAACAGGTTTTAGAATAACTGAAACTGTTTCTATGTATAAGGTAATATTGTATTAAAGTTCTAAGTATTGAAGTTTTCAATATTAATTATTAAATATATTTGATATTCTCTTGACAATAACAACAAATTATAAGATATTCATTTTAAAATGTATATATTATTCAAATAGTTAATGTAATTGATTATTCAGATTCTGGATCATAAGTGGCCTCAGTATTAACTCAAAACATACTTAAGTTATATTCATACATATTATAATGGTTTATATTTGAAATATTTCATTCATAAATGGGTAAAAAAAAAATATCTTTAATTGAATTACTATTAAATACCATAAGTAACGAAAAAACATTTCTATGTTGTTTATTATTTGTAAACATAATATCCAGTCACAGTTCTATCATTGAAGGAGAGTTTATGTTTTTAGTATTTCAGCTCGCAAGCTGTTGTAAAATAAGTCTGATGACAAGATTTCATGACA